CAACACTAAGGCAGTGGCATGAGAGGTGGAGAGAGAGGCTGGACTGGATTGTGGGGATCTTTCTAAGGCGGAAGATTTTTTTAGACTCTGGTGGTGAAGGAGAGGAAAGAGCAGAGATTTCTAATCTGGACAGCTGGCTGGATGGTGGTGGGAATACAGGAAAGATGCAGGTGTAGACAAGCTGAGTTTGCACAGCCACAGTTCTGGGGGTGATGTCCAATAGGTGGTTAGGTATGTGAATGCTGAAAGTTCGAGGTCTAGATTTGGGCATGATGAATGCAGGGGTGAGCAGTACTGAAGTCATGGAGTGGGTAAGATCAGCCACAAATGACAGAAAAGAGTAAATCAGGTTGATAGAATCTTGGCGATTCTCCCTTTAAGAGGTAAGGAGAACTCTTAAAAAGGGATGGTAGGCAGTAACCAGACTTCAGTGGCTGAAATAAATGAGTTAGAAGAGTGGAAGCAGAAAATATTTACATATCTCTACCACTTGGTGGTAGAAGAGGCCACAAACTGATGGTCTACCAGACTTCTGTAAAATACTGAATTTGTTGTCAGGATTTAAATTAAGTAAATTTCTCATAAATCTGGATTTCTGGCTTTCCTCAAGAAATAAGGAGATTCAACAACACTGGACAGCTATTTCTGGGTGGCAATAACCAGCAGGAATAATATACAAGCTACTTCATAGTTCTTAGGTATAAACTTTTTAGAAAGCAAAGCAAGGCACGTGTAAAATAGTGAACTGAAGCAAAACAGATGGGACTTTATCTTCAGTTTTGAATGCTGATTTTATGACCTAGTGACTCAGGTATATTCACACTCTGCGGTTTGACACCTGCTTTTACCTTGTGTATTTATCAGCAAAGCCTTTGTCCAGGCTGAAATTTTGCTCCCATTCCTTGTTCCCCTGCCACTAATGTAATGCTATGCCAGAAATATTTTCTGTGTTTCAGTTTTAATCACATATTCTAAAACCTTTCTCACTCTTCCCTCACATTGTCCTACAACCTAGAAGAAAACAAAGCAAGGCTGCATGTCCTTATCCCCATCCAAAAAAGTGAGCAGTTTCCTTGATTCCTAGAGATGGGACATTGTACTGTGGGAGAAGTTATTCAAATATTTATTAAATTCTGTAAGTGAGACAAAATGACAGCATCAAAAAGTTACCTGCTAAAATGGAAGTCTTCCCTGTACTTTCTTCATTTTGTTTTTCTTTGCTGCTGTTGCTTAAATTTTTAAAGAAACAGCATCAGGCTATAGAGGAAAGAGCAGTCATAGCTATGGCTCTGTGAGTTGGGGACCTGAGTTCTGGTCCTCCACCATGTACTCACTCCCTAGCTGTGTGACCTTGAAGAAGACTAGCTTTGAGTGGCACTTCCCTCATCTGTAAGATAAGGAGTTTCAGTCCAGTCCTGCAGCTTTTAATGGTACTCAGCAGACTGAAAAATGTGCTTTAGTGGTCTTACAAATATCTGATGCTAATTTCATGGGTTCTGGACTACATAGTTCTAAGACCACATACCCATCCATAAATCCAATAAAAAATTCCTTTCTTCTAATCCAATTTGTTTCATTGTTTTTAGTGACTGACATTACAATCTTCTCTCTTTTTAAAAATGTTCTGCAGTTTCATAATTAATATGTCAAGATGTATATTTCTTTCTTTTGTTTTTTAAACCTACATTGGTATTTTTAGATCTCAGGATTGGAGTCTCTCAATAATTCTGGAAAGTTCTCAGCCTTTATTTCTTCAAATATTGCTTCTTTCTTATTCTACTGCTTTCTAAAATCCAACTAGATACACATTAGACTGTTTCATCATGTTCTTTCAGTTTCTTACCTCCTTTTTTATATACATTTTTATCTTTAAGTATTCCTAGACTGTATTCCAGGGAATATTTTCAGGTATATTTTCTAGTTTATTGACTCTTCATTTGTGTCTAATCTGTTTAATCAATACACAGAGCTATAATTTCAACAATATGTTTTTCATTGCTAGATACTCTATTTGGATCTTTTTCATATCCATTTGTTCTTTGTTCATGTCTTCAATCTTTTTAGAACACTACCTAAACATATTAAAATCAGTTGTTTTATATGTAATTTCTGATTGTTCTAATACATAAAGTCTTTGCCAGTTGGTTTCTGCTGTCTGTTCCCTTTTGGGGCTCTCAACATGGTGCCTACTATTCTTGTTTGCTTAACAAATCTTAGCTGCAAGTTACTAACTCATCTGGGAAATTTTTTTGTGTAAATGTTTTGCAGCTTGGGATGCAGCTCACAAGATTCATCAAGAAAAGATTTGAGTTTGCCATTCCAATATGACTTGGGATACTAGCAAGCTACAACCATTTTATATTTAAGTCTCTATTTCAGGCTTTTGGAAGCACACAGGTAGTGAGTATGATTTCAGGCTGCAAAGACTTGTGGGGGCTGACTTTCATATTGCAATTGTTGTTCAGTTGGTGGGTTGTGTCCACCTCTTTGCAACTCTAAAGTCTGCAGCATGCCAGGCTTTCCTGTCCTTCACAATTTCCCTGAGTTTGCTCAAAACTTATGTCCACTGAGTCAGTAATGCTACCTAGCCATCTCATCCTCTGTTACCCTCTTCTCTTTCTGCCTTCAACCTTTCCCAGCATCAGGGTCTTTTCCAATGAGTTGTCTCTTTGCATCAGGTGGCCAAGTATTGGAGCTTCAGCCTCGGCATCAGTCCTTCTAATGAATATTCAGGGTTGATTTCCTTTAGGATTGACAGATTTGATCTCCCTGCTGTCCAAGGGACTCTCAAGAGTCTTCTCCAGCACCACAATTTAAAAGCACCAATTCTTCAGTGCTCAGCCTTCTTTATGGTCCAAATCTCACATCTGTTCATGACTACTAGAAAAACATAGCTCTGACTATAAGAACCAGTAAAGTAATGTCTCTGCTTTTTAATATACTGTCTAGGTTTATCATAGCTTTCCTTCTAAGAAACAAGTGTCTTTTAAACTTCATGCCTGCAGTACCATCCACAGTGAGTTTGGGGCCTGAGGAAATAAAGTCTGTCACCATTTCCATTGTTTCCCCATTTGTCATGAATTGATGGGACCAGATGCCATGACCTTAGTTTCTTGAATGTTGAGCTTTAAGCCAGCTTTTTCACTTTCTTCTTTCACCCTCATCAGGAGGCTCTTTAGTTCCTCTTTGCTTCCTGCCATTAGAGAGGTAACATTTGCAAATCTGAGGTTGCTGATATTTCTCCTGGCAATCTTGATTCCAGCTTGTGAGTCATCCAGCCTAGAATTTCACATGAAGTACTCTGTATATAAGTTAAATATGCAGGGTGACAATATACAGCCTTGATGTACTATTCTTTCCCCAAATTTGAACCAGTCTGTTTTCTATGTACAGTTCTAGTGATTTGAACCAGTCTGTTGTTCTATGTAAAGTTCTAGCTGTGGCTTCTTGACCTGCATACACATTTCTCAGGAGGTAGGCAAGATCTAGCATTCCCATCTCTTTAAGAATTTTCCACAGTTTGTTGTGACTCACACAGACAAAGACATTAGCACAGTCAATGAAGCAGAAGGAGATGTTTTTCTAGAATTCCCTTGTTTTTTCTATGATTCAACAGATTGGCAATTGGCAATTTGATCTCTGGTTCCTCTGCCTTCTCGAAATCCAGCTTGTACATCTGAAAGTTCTCAGTCCAGGTACAGTTGAAACTTAGCTTGAAAGATTTTGAGTATTACCTTGCTAGCATATGAAATGAGTGCAATTGTTTGGTAGTTTGAATATTATTTGGCATTGCTTTTCTTGGGGACTGGAATGAAAACTGACCTTTTCCAGTCCTGTGGCCAAATTGTTTTCCAAATTGTTAGCATATATTGAGTGCAGCACTTTAACAGCACAGCATCATCTTTTAGGATTTTAAACAGCTCAGCTGGAATCCTATCACCTCCACTAGCTTTTTTCACAGTAAAGCTTCCTGCGGCCCACTTGACTTCATACTCCAGGATGTCTGGCTCTAGGTGAGTGATCATCCCATTGTGGTTATCTGGTCATTAAGATTTTTTCTGTATAGTTTTCTGTGTATTCTTGCCACCTCTTCTTAATCTCTTCTGCTTCTGTTAGGTCCTTGCCATTTCTGCCCTTTATTGTGCCCATCTTTGCATGAAATGTTCCCTTAGTATCTCCAATTAAAGAGATCTCTAGTCTTTTTCATTCTATTGTTTTCCTCTATTTATTTGCATTGTTCACTTGAGAAGGCTTTCTTATCTCTTCTTGCTATTCTATGGATCTCTGCATTCAGTTGGGTATAGTATTCCTTTTCTCCTTTGCTTTTTACTTCTCTTCTTTTCTCAGCTATTTGTAAGGCCTCCTCAGACAACCACTTTGCCTTCTTCAATTTCTTTTTCCTTGGGATGGTTTTGGTCACCACCTCCCGTACGATGTTAGGAACCTCTGTCCATAGTTCTTCAGACATTCTGTCTACCAGATCTAATTCCTAGAATCTATTTGTCACATATGTGAGGCATGAGGTGGGGAATGAATAATTCAAAATGTTGATCACACTAAAGCCACAGAGCCAGAGACTAAACATAAAGTCAGCTTCTTTAAATGCTTTAGAATAAGCACTGACCCAAGAACAAGAAGACCTGGGTTCTATCAGGTTGAGTCATATAAAAGTGTTATTTTTATAGGTCAAAATTCAGTAGTGCCAGTTTCATAGCGCTCAACCCACAGTTCCTGCTACACCACTCTGTGGTGATCTTTGGGATTTGGATAGGCTTCGACATCTGTCCAGCTGGTGATGCCTGCTTTGCCTAGTTTGTAGGGCTTTTGAAAGGACCTATACAAATAATACAACATTTTATTGAGTGTCTGCTTATGAGTAGTTGCTTGGAAAACAAAAGATGACTAAGGTATAATGTTCATTCCCAAGGAGCTAAAGGCCAATGGGAGAAACACGTTGGATACGATAAGCAAGTAAGGAATGAAGCAATAAATTCTGCTGATTGGTAGACAAAATCATTTTAATTGAGCTGTAAAGGTTAAATAGAAGTTTCCCACGTGAAGGGGAAGAGGCAAGTTTAGCAAGAGGAACAACTTGAACAAGGCATGCAGGTGTGAAAGCACATGGTAACTTGAGGAAGAGTAAATCATCCAGTGGGTCTAAAATGTACAGGGTAATGAGGAAGGGGGTGTGTGAGGCCAGAAAGTTGGAAGGAGCGGGTTGCACCAGGGTATAAAAATGATTGGATAAGATGCATCCAGAGGAACTGTAAGAAAGCATAGAGTGTTTTACAAATGCTGTTGTTTACCTTGAATACATAAAAGAAAGTTTCCCTGAAAACTCACATCATTCCTCCCCTTTACTCACAAAAGGTTTGGTTTGAGTCATAGATTGATTTGCCCGATTTCTTAACAGAGTGTCTCCTCTCCCTAGGAGGCATGTAGAAACTTTCAGAGTGGTGGGGAGTGGAGAACAGGAAGTGATTCAGTTTGAGAGCTATCTCATTGTTGCCTCCTTCTTCCATATCAGTTAGTCTGATCTCCCCCAAGAAAGAATTAAAGCCACCACAACCAATGGAGGAGAAGGTCAGTGTATGCACACTTCCCTCTTATCTTTTCCCTTCTGCTTCCCTGTAAAATCTCTCAGAATTAAGTCATTCAGTGTTGCCAAGCTTAGTCATATTTTCCATTTCCCTTCTCTCCTACCAGCCAGGATCAATTTTGGGGTGTTGATTTCTTTCAATAATTTTCTTGTACCCAGCAATGGGTTAGTATAATTCCACCATACCCTCAGAGTTCCTCTGCACAAACAAGAACATGCAAGCCTGACAACACAATGAATGGAATTGAAGGCCCAGGAATTCAATTTCACCTTATTCTACCAATGGCTCCCATGGAATAAGAGAAAGAACCAAATGGATTTGATTTCAAATTTTGCCTTTGCTACTTACTGACTATGTGGCCTTTTGCAAGACAGTTAATCACTCTGAGTTTCTATTTCCTCACTTCTAAAATGGAGGAAACCATATCAAATACTGGTGATATGGTGACTATTATAAACAATGTATGTAAAACATCTGATCCACAGAAGATGCCTATGATACTGTAACTGTTATCACCATTAGTGTCATCTCCACCACCATCATTATTAAGAGTCTGAACTAATGCAGACTCCCTGCTGGTGTTATTCCTTCTCTCTTACTGCCCTCCATCTGTTCCTCACATAGCAGCCAGAGCACTCTTTAAAAAACTCATATTCCACATTACTTAAAACACTTCTTTGGCTTCGCATTGCACTTTGAATGAAATCCAACTCCTTCCCCTAGCCTCCAGGGCCCAGCCCTCCTTGGTTTCTTCCTCCTTTCTTCTCCAACCCCATTACATTATACTCTTCCAATTGCCCAATCTGCTCCAGCCACACTGGCGCTCTTAGTTCCCTAAAAACTGCAAGTTCTATCAGGGCCTTTGCCCCTGGAGTTTTCTCTATCCAGAAGGCATCCTCTGTCCCCTCTCGGCCATATGTTCTTCACACCCTTTGGGCACAGCTCAAATGCCACCTTCTCTGACCATACTATCTTAGTACCATTCTAGTCCTTAAACTTCCTCATCAATCTAATTCTTATTTATCATATTCATAAATGATTTATTTGTATGGTTATTTTCTCAAAATATATCTCCCCCCAAAAGAATAAACTCCAGGAGGGCAGGAAGAAGTTTGCTTTACTCACTACTATATCCCTAGCACCTAGCTGAGCACTAGAAAAGTGTTTGATTTATTATTGTTATTCTTAGCACTCTGTACAAATACAAATCCACACCACTTGTGAACTCGGGACCTCAGAGAGGTTGGGATTTCTCTATAATGATTTCTTTTCAAAGCATTTAAGTACTTTCTAGGACATCAAAGATTAAACTTTCTATTTTCTGTATGATCCAAATTTTCCATAATCAACATATGTTTTTAATAAAAATTTCCCATAAACTCTGCATTTTAACAAGACTTCTCACTCCAATCTGATTAAATTCATTTATTTTAAAAGTAAAATCCACAAAGAGGAAAGAAAAACCAGCAGCCAATTAACACTCTTAAGGGTATCAGTATTTTGGAAGAGAGAAATTGCTAATCAAAGAACATCACCTGACATATAAGAGACATTTACCAATTCAATAAACAATTTTCTATTTGATCAAATGTAGATTATATGACAAAGTAAAATGAAAACTGTTGTGCGGTGTCCCATGGATTAATGCTGATGGAATACATAGTCACTGGCAACTAATGGGCACTCAGTATCTGTGGAATGTAGGTTTCTGGAAGCCTTCTCCAGTCAAAGAAGCAATCATTACACATGGCAACTTTGGAAATGATAATATCGCATACAATTTTGTTGTTGTTGTTGCTCAGAAATGAGTTACCAACTAATGAATTTCTATTTAAGATATTATTCCTTGATTAAAATCTCATTTCAGGTTTTTATTTTACTTTTTGTGATTTAGTGTTAGTTGCTCAGTCATATCTGACTCTCAGTGACCCCATGGACTATAGCCAGCCAGGCTCCTCTGTCCATGAAATTCTCCAGAGAAGAATACTGGAATGGGTGGCGATTTCCTTCTCCAGGGTTTAGTGATTTAAATGTATGTAATTTCCTCTGGAATGTTCCTCTCCACTACACATACACTCTTACCCTCTTCTTCCTCCTTTTTTAAAAAGTTCCTTCTCTTTCCTTGTATTGTCTAAAATATGGCTTTCCCCTGGTGACCCCACTATTCTTAAACCCACTCTCCTTCATTGTGTGCCCATTTCCCAGCACTAATACAGGAAGCAGCACATTTCTCATTTTCCACTGCCCTTGGTAACCTCAACCCTGGGCCCAACTACTTATGTTAATGTCTTTCCATTCTGGTTAACAGGGATGCCAACATCCCTTTCTGTTTGAGTTGCCTCTTCTATCATCACCCTCAGTTGACTTCATTGCCTGTTTTAGTGATTCTTTAGTCCTCTATAGGGCTTTGCTGGGGGCTCAGATGGTAAAGAACGAGCCTGCAATGCACAGCTCACTCACAAAGCCTCATCCTGACCACCATTATCATCAGAACATCTCCACCTCCAAGACAGGAACACTGGAATTCACCTGTTTATAATATAAAACAAGCTTCTGTATTTTTACTTTTCCCACTCCCATTTTTAAAACCTTTAGAAATTGTGCTAAACTGTAACAATAAATATAATATATCTGATCTTCATTTTAATCATTTTAAGTGAATATGAAATACACTGACATTAGTGAGCAACCATCATAATCCAGCTCTAAAACTTTTTTCATCTTCCAAAAATGAAGCTTGATGATCCATGAACAGTATTACCCCATTCCCTAGTTAAGTCTTTTAAGCATATTTGTATTTCCCTTAATCGCTGTAAAGCTTCTCACAACCTACCTTATGAAGAAGAATCAGGCCATTTTCCAAGATCCTCAAGTTCATGTTCCTAGACCTGACATTTCACATCTTCCCCATTCTCTCACATTTCCTCCTCTCCTACACAAAGAAATATGCCTCCTCCTTTTTAAACCTTCCACTAGTTTTCTCTCCCCCTCTCTCTTCTCTGTCTCCTCTGGGACTTTGATATAGAAAACTATTATATAGTTTTGATATAGAAAACTATATCAGTTTTCTCTTTCTCATTCACTACTTTCTCTCTACTTTGAAACACACCTAGGAGTTTCATATTCTAATAAAAAAATTAAAAAAAATACTAACATGTGTTAAGTTTTACTACGTTCTAGCTATTATGCTAAGTGCTTAAAATGTACCTCCTTATATAATTCTCATAAAAAACCCATGAGTTCAAAATATTATAAGAAAAAGTGTTATTATGAGGAAACTGAAGCTTTAGAGACATCAAGTAACTTGCCCTAGACTTTTCACCTAACATGCTGCTGTCAAGATACCATTCTCTCTGTGTTTCCCTTTCATTACTATACTTTTAAAAAAGTCTTTCTCCTTTCTTCTTCACACTGCAGCACACTGCACTTTCCTACCATGCTTAAAGGACTCTCTCCAAGGCCTCTAATCTGCCAGTTCTCTGCACTGCTCACTACTGCTCACTAAATGTTCCTTTTTGAGAGGATCTGCTTTCTTATCATTCATAATATGACCTGTTTTTTCCCCCTTCTCTTTCTGATCTTCTTTGCTAACTCCTTTTCTTCTCTTGCCCCTTAAATGTAAGAGTCTCCACAGTTCCATCTAGACACAGCTTTCTCTTCCTGCTCCACACTCAGCTGAGCCAATCTCACTTTGCTCCCACATAGTCAATAGTTGTGCTTTCACAAATGAACAAATCCACATGGCTAAGTCTGGCCTTCTCAACCCACAACCCAGCTCCAGCTCCCTCCCATATAATTGTTCCTTAAGCTTGATATACCATTTGCCCCATATTACTCATTTCTTGTTCCTGTCAATGAACTCCCTACCTGAGTTTCCTACCCAGAACCATTGGCACCAATTTCACCTCCTTTTGCCTTCCCTTCCCCTGTCCAGAGCTGATAGACCCACATCCAAAAAGAGCTATGGAGGCTCTGTGGCAGACACAGCACTGAACTGCGAATGAACTTTGGTTCTAATCCTGATTCAGTTGCTAAAGAGCTATGCGACAATAGAGGTAGGACCAGGGATCTCTGGAGCCCTTTCTCACTCTAACATTCAAGGACTCTTACAGAATATGCCTGCAGCACTAATCACCTTCATCCCCTCCTGACTAGTCTCACTGACACTGCCCTAGCTCCATCCTCACTGCTTTTTGCCTGGGTTATTTAATTGGCCTCCTAACTGGCATTGGCCTTTCTTCTAGTCCTTCATACAGCCATAAAATTACATTCATAAAACACATCTTTGATACTCTCACTTGCTTAAAAAACTTATAAAAGATTCCTGTTAGCTACAGAGTAAAAGTCAAACTCCTTGCCATTATATTCACAGCTCCCTGCATTCTACTCCCCACATAACATATGAAGCCTCACTTTATCTAAATTGGATTACAAAGGTGTTTGGGATAAGCATTTGGGGGAAAAAATCCCTAAATTACTCTTTATACTAGATGTAAGAAGGGATTAAAGATTTAAATATTAAATAGTAAAGAATAAAACTTTTAGAAAGTGGCATGATAAGTTAATTTATAATCTTTGAGGAGAAGGAGTCTTCAAAGCAGGACACAACATCCAGAAGTTATAGAAGGAAAAGTTGATTAAAATTTACCTTGTAACATGGGTGTACCTATGCCTGATTCTTGCTGATGTTTGACAGAAAACCACAAAATTCTGTAAAGCAATTATCCTTCAATTAGAAAATAAATAAAGTGGTAACAAAATCAATCAAACATGAGTAGACCTATGGCTGATCATGTTGATGTTTGCTAGAAACCAGTGCAACACTGTAAAGCAATTATCCCTCAATTAAAAATAAATAAATTTTAAAAATATCTTTAAAAAATTTACCACATAATACTTGAAAACTTACATCAAAAAAGTTTTAAATGCAATTAACAAATAATAATCGGTACTGGGGAAATTTTTTCACAGACAACAATTTCACCTCTTAATTTACAAAGAATTCATATAAGTCATTAATTTACAGACACTGACAACAAATTTTTTTTATAAAAGTTAAATCTCACTAAATAATTAAAGAAACAAAATTCAAAACCATGAACTATTTCCCACTCTTTAGAAAGTAAACATTTTAAAGGTGATGACCTCCCCTACCCCCACCAGACCCCTGATGCTAAAGCAATGGAGAAAGGGCATTCACTTGAATTGCTGAAATTATAAATCAGTACAAACTTTTTGAAGTGAGTTGGATAATATCTATCAAAATATAAGATGCTTATACAGTTTGATCCAGAAATCTTGCTACAAGGAATGTATGCTACCAATGAACTTACAAAGGCTTACCAGAATCACAACACACAAACACACACACACACACAGACCTGTCAGTTGCAACACTGGTTATAGCAGAAAAGAAGAAAAGGGGAAAACTGGAAATGGTCAAAGAATTAATCAGTACAAGAGTGTTTATAGTATATTTATATGATTATGTATATTTGTAATGCTTCCTGTAAAAAAAATTATTCTGACATGTAGAAATGTCATGTTTATGCTTATGATGCATGTTAACTGTATGATGAAAAAAGCTTACAAAATAACATTAGCAGTATGATTCTACTTTTTATTTAAAAATAGATATATATAGTACTTCTTCACTGAAAAAAAGAATGTTAGGATCTACAGTATATATGCTTTCCTGTCACTTACACATTTTCTAAGTGTACATATATCATTTTTATAACTAGAAAAAGCTTACTTAAAAAGTTTTCAACTTTCTGTAGGAAAGAGAAAGGCAATTAAATAATCTGGGTCCTTATATGCTCTACAGTGAGTAATAAACAGTGTGCAGAGTCCAAATAATAGGGGTTTTATAAAAGTAGGACCTAGAGGGATTGGGTAGAGAGGGAGGTGGGAGGGGGGATCGGGATGGGGAATACATGTAAATCCATGGCTGATTCATGTCAATATATGACAAGACCCACTGCGGTATTGTAAAGTGATTAGCCTCCAACTAATAAAAATAAATGAAAAAAAAAAGTTAATGACTAACTGAATATAACTCATTGAAAGTGCTCTGGCTAAAATAATCTAAAATATCTGTTTAGGATTTGGTTGTGGAAATGTGTCACAGTCTTTGTAGACCGGGACCTGGGGACTGGAGTCGATGAGAAGAGGGACGCAGGGGACCCAAGTCTCAAGTGAAACAAGGGTGCTTTATTTGCAGAAACGCATGTTTACATATCTTCATACAAGGCAGCTTTAGGCAGTAAAAAAATTGAGCAAAAACAAAGCCAAGCAAATAATAATCTTTGAAGGGCCAGAAAGCATTCCATATCCTGAGTAAGAGGGGCATAACTGAATAGATTACCTTTAAGTAAAAGGTCCCCAAAGGGAGTCACTGAAAGGAATCCAAGCAGGTGCCCTTTCTCATGATCTCAGTCCTGAGAACTGCGTGCAGCTCTGCTCATTCCTATTTTCCAGGAACTGAAAAGGAATAGAGAGTCCTTGAGAAACGGCACACAAAAGAAGAGAATAACATATTGTGTCCATTAAAGTTGAACGTCCCCTGACAATTCCCCTTTTTTAATTTTTTCATAATTGGGGGTGACTGTAGATACTTTTGTTTGCTTAGTTTGAATAATTTTAGTTGAAAGGCATCTGTATACTACAAATATAATCACCAGGACAATTATCAGCATTATAGTTTCAGATCCAGTACTATATGTAACGTTTTGAAACCATCCTCGAGGGTCCAGCCCAGATAATTGATCAATTAGCTGTTCAGCTAAGGTTTCCAAATTGTTGGAAGAGAGTAGACTCTTAGAGAAGGTTTCCAAAATTTTGTTTTGCCACAATTACACATTTAAGGAAGTGTTATTATGTATATTTTGCACATGAAATTTGATTTGTTCCCAATTGTAAGCATTATGGTTGAACCGAAATGGAGTGATACAAAATTGAGTAGAATTCCAATCACAATTTAATAATATTTGTTTTTGTAAATCTATCAATTGATCTCCAACCCATTGGATGGCTGTTTTTAATCTCTGAATTTTATCTTGAACTTTTTCATCTATTTGAATTTGAGTGACCCATATAGTATGAGCATTTTTAGTCCAATTCTGAATAAAGTTTTGTGTTTGAATTGAAGTTCGTAAAGCAATGTCTGTGACAGCAGCAATGGTGAAAATGGCTATTAATCTCAAAATATCAAGATTTAGCCATCCGATGAATCACTTAGATTGTCGGAGTAATTTAGTGAGTAACCAGGAGGCAAGTCCTATCATGGAACCCTCTTCCCAGGGTCGTTGGAGATCTACTGGCAACCATAGACTACGTTGAGAGCAAAGAATCAAAAGGGAATTGTTTTTTAGAGAAATAGAGGAATTAAGACAAGTATACAATTTGTAATCTATACAAGTCACAGAACATAAAGTCTTATTAAATTGTAAGTTTCCTATGGCTATAACAAAAGGAAGGGGAACACAAGCTTGTATGAAATATGAGTGATTATAACGGAAGGAATAGTTACTATGATTACAATTTGTCTCTGAAATATCTAGTCCAAGTTTCAAGTTTTTCAGTACTTGCAGCAAGTCTCCAGATGTCCCATTGTTTAGGCCCAGTCTGTTTACTGAGGACAATTCAAGGGCGAGGAGGTGCCATTCCACCATCAAGCCAGCCAAGGAGTCCTTTGTCATGGAAGTGTTTCATCGAACTGTTGGTCACCCTCTATGTTACTTGAGTAACATGGTCATACATAGTGCTGTTAATATCATCTGAGCAGTTAGATAACCACATACAATAGGGTCTCCAATCAACAATGGGGTAACTGGCCACAAACATTAATTTCCCTGATTTAGCTTGACATCTATCCCAATAAACAGGAGTATATTTAAAGTCCTTATAGGTAAACCCCTTACATTCCAACTTTTGTCCTTTTCCTAGAGTTTTGGTAGTATTGACACGGTTCTCATAAAAGGACAGGGCAGTAAAGAGTCCAAGCAATGTGCGGAAATTCTTTTTTGGAGGCAGGACGAAAGTCCACGTTTGTTGACAAACACTAATACATATTTCTGCTGGGTCCATGCATAAAGGAAGAATTTAATAGCCTAGAGAAATGTTAATTAGTCTTCTTTTTCAGGATGAGAGGGCCCCTCCAAGTTCCAAGGAGGAGGCATATGTACTGAGTCATTAGTGGATATGATTGGTCCTATGTCTGTCCATTTTATAGCCTGCAATAAAGGGGGGTTAAGTATATAAGCCCAATAAGGGTGATTAATCAAGTCAGCCTGAGCAGGAGAAGCAAAAGCAAGCAAAGCAAGCATAGCAACTAAAATATTTTCAGGATTTCAAGGCATTCCCTGTTGAGAAACCAGATTTTCAGCTTGACTAGTAAGGGTTTTTATCTGTCCCCAAGTAGTGAGATCATAAAGTCGATGACGTCAAATGCGGCATTTCTTGGAAATTTTTAAAGCTGCCATGGCTTGTACTGGAAACGTGTACAAACAAACATGGCTTGTACTGGGGATTTTGCCATTTCTTCTCTATCTTTAATGCTGGTGGCTCCCCTGGGGTGGATATTCCGAAGAGGGAGTCAACTGATTTCATTGGATCCGTCTGGAGAAATACAAGCATACCCCTTTTCCCTGTAATATTAATTTTCCGGATTTCCATTGTTTAGTCAACCCATCTTGATACCAAATGAACAGAGGAAGGGAGGTGTCCTTCAATGCCTCAAAATGTTTTTCTGCTTTTGTCAAAATATCTCCTTGTGGTACGTTTAAAAAATTTAAAACAAATAAAGCTCTATTAACAATAGTTATAGGATTAAAGAATATATTGCATTGGAATCTAGTAAAATCTGTTCTGGATAAGGAAGATAGAAGTGATCCTGTGTATTCCCCCTTTTTAAATTTTTTTATTTGTAGTTCCAGTGTGTGATGGGCTCATTCAAATGTGCTCATTCAATTCCACAGCACAATCCTGTGCTTGTGGATTATAAGGAATATCTGTAATATGTTTAATAGAAAATGATTGTAAAAATTGTTTGAATTGTTTAGAAATATAGGCAGGGCCATTGTCTGTTTTTATGGAACTGCTGCTGCTGCTGCTAAGTCGCTTCAGTTGTGTCCGAGTCTGTGCAACCCCATAGACGGCAGCCCACCAGGCTCCCCCATCCCTGGGACTCTCCAGGCAAGAAGACTGGAGTGGGTTGCCATTTCCTTCTCCAATACTTGAAAGTGAAAAGTGAAAGTGAAGTCAGTCATGTCAGACTCTTAGCGACCCCATGGACTGTAGCCTACCAGGTTCCTCCGTCCATGGGATTATCCAGGCCAGAGTACTGGAGTGGGTTGCCATTTCCTTTTCCATTTATAGAACTAGGTTTTCTCATTATTGCAAAGGAAGCTAACAGGTGGGTTATAACATGTCGTGTAGTTTCACCTCAGAGAGGTGTGGCCCATATAAAAGAAGAATTTTTATGATTGAGACATATAAGAAGGAAGAGGAAAAAGTTCAGGGCAATGAGTTATATCCATTTGCCATAGTTCATTGGGTTATAATCTTCAAGGATTGATACCTTGTGTAATGGGTCAAAGATGTAGGGGCCTATAAGTAGAGCAATATTTAATGATTTCTTTAGCATGTTGGTATGGAATTTTCCAAATTTGATGTAATGAGCCAGGATTATTGTGTAATAGAGCATGTTGTTCTTCAGGAGTAGCAAAAGACACAAGTTTATCAGCTTGTTCATTGCCATGAGCCATAGGGCCAGGAACACAAGAATGTGTTCGAATATGGGTAATATAAATGAGGGAAGTGCGGTTCTTAACAATAGATTGTAGTTCAAAAAAAGTTGTTGAATAATAGACTGATTAGAATTTATGGTAGAAGTTTTTATATATCATAATACAAAAACTGAATATAAAGAATTAGAAACTATATTAATAGGGTAAGGATATAGGTGAATAACCTGAATGAGAGCATATAATTTATTTTGCTAAGCAGAGTGAAATTTAGTATAAAAAATTTTATATTCTTTGAGAGACCAGAATGAGGCTTTAACATTTTTCAGTTCAGTTCAGTTCAGTCGCTCAGTCATGTCCGACTCTTTGCGACCCCATGAATCACAGCACGCCAGGCCTCCTGTCCACCACCAACTCCCAGAGCTTACTTAAACTCATGCCCATCGAGTCAGCAATGCCATCCAGCCATCTCATCCTCTGTCACCCCCTTCTCCTCCTGCCCCCAATTCCCTCCCAGCATCAGGGTCTTTTCCAGTGAGTCAACTCTTCGCATGAGATAGCCAAAGTACTGGCGTTTCAGCTTCAGCATCAGTCCTTCCAATGAACACCCAGGACTGATCTCCTTGCAGTCCAAGGGACTCTCAACAGTCTTCTCCAACACCACACTTCAAAAGCATCAATTTTTCAGTGCTCAGCTTTCTTCACAGTCCAACTCTCACATCCATACATGACCACTGGAAAAACCATAGCTTTGACCAGACGGACCTTTGTTGGCAAAGTAATGTCTCTGCCTTTTAATATGCTATCTAGGTTGGTCATAACTTTCCTTCCAAGGAGTAAGCGTCTTTTAATTTCATGGCTGCAATCACCATCTGCAGTGATTTTGGAGCCCAAAAAAATAAAGTCTGACACTGTTTCCACTGTTTCCCCATCTATTTCCCATGAAGTGATGGGACCAGATGCCATGATCTTAGTTTTCTGAATGTTAAGCTTTAAGCCAACTTTTTCACTCTCCTCTTTCACTTTCATCAAGAGGCTTTTTAGTTCTTCTTCACTCTCTGCCATAAGGGTGCTGTCATCTGCATATCTGAGGTTATTGATATTTCTCCCGGCAATCTTGATTCCAGCTTGTATTTCTTCTACCCCAGCATTTCTCATGATTAGCACTTTTAGTCTTATATAAAACACATCAGTTGGAGGTATAGGTTGTGATATGACAATGTGAGAGATAATAAATTTAGTATTTTTGAAGAAATTTCAGAGTTTGTTAGAAGGATAATGAAATGAAATTTCTCTAAAATATTCTAGAAAACCTATCTGGAAATTGGTAGAAGTTTGTAATGCGTTCTCAAATTGAGATTTATTAATAGGTATTACAATTTTATGAGGATCAAAGCCAATTAAGAGTCTTAGCTCTATTTCTTTCATTGATGAGGATTAGAGTGATCAAATCAAGATACAGTGTAAGTGACCTTGTCCCTCTAAAATGGGTATAGATCTATTCTATTGGGTGTTCTTTTTGGGCAATAAGTCCTGTGGGAAAATGGAGAGAGGGGAGTATAAATAACTCTAGAGGTAAATCAAGTCTAATATGAGTAAGAAACTGCTTTTCCAATTTATTTTGTATTAAATAGAGTTTTTCTTGTGCCTTTTGTGAAAGTGAACGAGGGTTATTTAAATTTGGGTCTCCATTTAAAGTGTTAAATAAATTAGTCAGTTGATAATTTGTAAAGTCTAAAGAGGGTCTAAAAAAAAGAATTCATTTGAATCAGTTCTAATGAGATAGATGAAACTGGAGCCCATTATACAGAGTGAAGTAAGCGAGAAAGATAAAGATCAATACAGTACACTAACGCATATATATGGAATTTAAAAAGATGATAACGATAACCCAATATGAAAAACAGAAAAAGAGACACAGATGTACAGAACAGACTTTGGGACTCTGTGGGAGAAGGCGAGGGTGGGATGTTCTGAGAGAACAGCATTGAAACAAGTATACTATCAAGGGTGAAACAGATCACCAGCCCAGGTTGGATGCATGAGATGGGTGCTCAGGGCTGGTGCACTGGGAAGACCCAGAGGGATGGGATGGGGAGGGAGGCGGGAGGGGGGATCAGGATGGGAACACATGTAAATCCATGGCTGATTCATGTCAGTGTATGGCAAAAACCACTACAATATTGTAAAGTAATTAGCCTCCAACTAATAAAAATAAATGAAAAAAATAAAGTTTTAAATAAATTAGTCAGTTGATAATTTGTAAAGTCTAAAGAGGGTCTAAAAATAAATAAATGAATAAATAAATAAAGAGGGTCTAATCCAATTTATATCACCTAAAAGTTTTTAAAAATCATTTAAGGTTGATAATTTATGAACATGAATCTGTGTTAGTTGAGGAGTAACATGTTGTCTACTAACAATAAATTTTAAGTAATGGTAAGGTGTAGAGGTTTGAATCTTTTCAGGGGCAATGATTAATCTAGAATCTTTTAAGTATTGTTGAGCTATGTTAAACATCTGTTGAGTTTATATGTATATAGTGAATAACAAGAAAGTTATAAAACTGTTTTTTCACAGGTTTAAGAGCTTCGGCTATATAATATTGATATATGGTGGGAGAATTCATCATTTTTTGAGGCAATACAGTCTATTGATATCTTTTGTGAGGCCTGATATGATAGCATAAGGGAGAGAGAAAGCAAATCTCTCTCGGTCCAGAGGGTGTAAAGGTATAGTATTCTAGAATGGACTGCTTGAGGAAAAAGAAGAAAATCATTTAGGGCTGGTATATTGATGGCAGCATTGCCCGATGTTGAGGGTTTGAGGGAAAAGATGGAGTTTGCCTCTGGTTTTTGTTGATGGGGACCCGGGGAGTCCCCATCTTTGAGTTTCCTGAGATAGGATTTCTCTCAACATCATATTTAGATTGACATTTTCAGGCCCAGTGTATCCCCTTATGACAGTGAGGGCAGACTTTTGGAGGCTTTTTAATAGTTTTAATTTGTGTGTGTGTGTATGTGTGTGTTTTAGGGCAATCTTTTAAAAAATAACTCTAATCTCCATAAACAAAACATCTTCATTTCCCTTTTTAAAGGTAGCAGCCATTGTTTCAACTAACATTTGCATTTTCTGAGTTTTTGATCTTAAGTTGTGACAAGCCTTCAAATAATAACATTCCTGGTCTCATGAACTGGAGCGATGGCTCTTTGATATTTCTGATTCGCATTCTCATATGTAAGCAGTTTTTCTAACTGCGTTTTGGCTTCTTCTCCAACAACATTATGGGAGATAGCAACTCCCAGTCTACCTAAAAAATTAGCACAGGCTTCATTAGACCCTTATGATATCTTTGTGTAGCTACCTTTAGGTTCCCCTTGAGGAGTAATTCGATCCCAAGCTTCAAGGGCAACTTCTTTTAATTGCTCATGCAACAAAGGAGGGCACTGTATTTGAACTTCCACCAAATCAAATTGTCCTGTACCGGTTAACATTTCAAAAGTAATTTGGTTTTGGGGAGTGCCAGTTTGAGCATTAGAATTGGCATGATCTTGGGCCACATCACGAAACCATATTATCTATTGAAGATATTTTCTTGGTTTAAGAAGAGCTTTTATCAAAATTCACCAATCATAGGAAATAAAATTTCCAATAGAAGATGCCATAGTGTTTAGAAGCTCTTTAGTAAAAGTGAATAAGGGCCATACATAGTTACAGCCTTTTTCATTTGTTGCATGTGAGAAAAATCAATGTCTTCATATTGAGGTATTAGTTGCCCTTGAGCATTATTTCTTAACACAGGAAAGGCAAAAAGATCATCAGCCTCAGACTCGAGATTGCAAAGCCAGTAAATCAGAAAGCTTCGTCGTGAAGGAGAATGAGTGGATCATCTGTATTCATAAATATGAGTGTGTGTTAGGGGCTTATTATTGTCATCAAATGTATTTTTGGCTTTAGTGTCAAAGAGAGCAGCAGAAGAATCATCATCAGATTCATTTTGTCCTCTAATTGAGGGGACCTTCGGTTTCGTGCCCATTACTAGAGGAGGAGGTGGGCTTGGGACAGCCAGAGCAGGGATGGTGGAAAAGTTTTGAAACATTTTATGTTTGTCTAATTGGGCCTTTTGTAAAGTCTTATCATCTAATTTATATTTGTATAATAAGCGTTACGCTTGTTGACGAATATCAGGGGTGCTAGAATTTCCTTGAAATGGCAAGATTATGGCTTTAATGTGGATCCACAAGGGCCAGAAATCTATTGGAATATTTTCTCTCTGTCTTGTGGTTTGTTTAATTTTTTTTTTAACCCAGTTCCAAACTTTTAAATTGGAACTGCCTTCATCAAAGAACCAGGGATTATATTCAACCACTGTTTGGAGACAAGACTCTATCTGCTGACATGAAACCGAAAGTCCTTGAACCTTAAATAAATGATGAAGTAAAGTAGAAAAGTGGTGGGGGCTTTCCAGCCATTTGTCCCATAACCCCACACTTACCGACCTCCGTAGGTCCTAACAGTCACTCCGTCTGCTTGCCAAGGGCTTCACCAGGTCCCTGTTCAGGTGCCACTTGTCACGCTCTCTGTAGATTGGGACCTGGAGACTGCAGTCAACGAGAAGAGGGACGCAGGGGACCCAAGTCTCGAGTGAAACAAGGGTGCTTTATTTGCAGAAACGCATGTTTATATATCTTCATACAAGGCAGCTTTAGGCAGTAAAAAAATTGAGCAAAAACAAAGCCAATTAAATAACAATCTTTAAAGGGCCAGTAAGCATATCCATATCCTGAATAGATTACCTTGAACAGTTCTATGAAGATCTACAAGACCTTTAGAACTAACACCCAAAAAAGATGTCATTTGCATTATAGGGGACTGGAATGCAAAAGTAGGAAGTCAAGAAACACCTGGAGTAACAGGCAAACTTGGCCTTGGAATATGGAATGAAGCAGGGCAAAGGCTAATCGAGTTTTGCCAAGAGAACACACTGGTCATAGCAAATACCCTCTTCCAACAGCACAAGAGAAAACTACACATGGACATCACCAGATGGTCAACACTGAAATCAGATTGATTATATTCTTTGCAGCCAAAGATGGAGAAGCTCTGTATAGTCTGCAAAAACAAGACTGAGAGCTGACTGTGGCTCAGATCATGAACTACTTATTGCCAAATTCAGACTTAAATTGAAGAAAGTAGGGAAAACCACTCTACCATTCAGGTATGACCTAAATCAAATCCCTTATGACTATACAGTGGAAGTGAGAAATAGATTTAAGGGACTAGATCTGATAGTCAGAGTGCCTGATGGACTACGGATGGAGGTTCATGACATTGGAGAGGAGACAAGGATCAAGACCATCCCTAAGAAAAAGAAATGCAAAAAAGCAAAATGGATGTCTGAGGAGGCCTTACAAATAGCTGTGAAAAGAAGAGAAG